GTAAGTATATATGTGTAAACAGATACAAACATATAGATGCATAGAAAAATGATTAGAAGACTGTCATCAAAATGTTAATAGTGTTGCTGTTTCTAAGTTGGATATCATAAGTGACTGGCATTATTATTCCTTTCCTGTGTTTTCTATAATGAACGTATAGTACTTTTTTAATTAGAGAGAAGTAGAATTATTTTAGAAAGAAAAGTCTTAGTCTGAGGTGAAGATCCTCACGGCCAACATTTTGTACATGGTAGAACTAAAACATCTCCCACGGATACAGAGACCGTGTTGATGGAGAGGTCGTACTAAGCCAGAAACTCAACTTACTGGAGTAGAGATCTACTGCTGTTTCCTTCTGTCTCCACCAAGTTCTGAGAATGAACCAGAGGGAGCATGAGGAATGGGTCTGAAAGTATATTCTGCCCTTCCCAAGTGTGGGAGATGGATCTCCTTAAGTGGGAGAGTTAGGCTGAGATGTACGTCTGGTAAGACTCTTGGAAATTGGCTGTAGAATGAAACTGGACAAGAGAAGCCATAGCTTCTTCAGCCCTCTTGCTATGATCTTATTTGAGTAAGTTTCAGGAAGCTGGCTGCTCTCTAATCCTGAAAAACTAAAATTTAGGGTCTTCTCTTTGTAAGCTTATCCAGTATTTCTATGGTTTACTTGACTAAAACTCAATACAGTATTAATTTCTGCAACCCCAACAACCCTCAGCAGTGAGTAAGCAAATGAAAGCATCTCCCTCATCTACTATCCAAGTTCCTAACAAAGCCCTTGAGATAAGCCCAAGGGTTCTCTCAGCCTTAGTACCCTAGAGGGATTTTCAAAGGGATGATCCCAGGAGACTTGCAGTAGACGGCTTTGCTCCTCTTGGGGAAAATAAATATCCAAGGCTCCTGAAAGCTAGAGTTTCAGAGACTGCATTTTTTTTTTCCTGTGCCACTTCCCAAGCCAAAGGAACCAATGCCCCCAGCCTCAAGGAATATAGCAGTAATTTGAGGTTCTCTCTGATACTAGAGGAGCTGAATTTTTCTTGCTTTGTGGGATTTAGCTTCCCTTGCAAATGCCTCTTGAACACATGGTGTTTTCACCTGCTTCCTCTGAATAGAGTCATCCTTTCAATGACTTTTAAAGATCACTGTCTGGAATATGACTCCTCCTTATTGCTAAGGTCGGACACAGTGAGTGGCTGTTAACAGAACTGAATGAAAATGGAATGCCATGTGTATTTTCCAAAATATTATTCTTTTCCCTCTTTGGTTTCAGTATTTGGTTGTATTGATTATCATGTTCATTAATATTGTATTTCTTCATGCTCATCTTGCTCTGTTAATGGATTCAAGGACATGAAATTTAGCTGAGACATTATAATGATCTCCAGATTTTTTAAAGACTATCAGGTTGAAGAGGAAAGAGAAGATGGGATAATGTGGGGCTGTGGCAAGTTGCAGGGAGACAGATATTGAGTCAATAGGAAGTAACATTCTCTAAGAACTAAGGCCATTCAAAAATATCTATATGGGCCTATAGAATGAGATAGTCTGCACCATTAGAAATGAAAAGAGTGAGATAGATTTATAGTACTGTTATGGAAAGTATTCATGATACAATATGAAGGGAAAAAAGCTAGTTGTAAATTGGTATGCACAGTCTAATTCCATTTGTGTAAAATTGAAATGATATAGAAATATACACAGTTGTACTTGGGAATTTTCTAGACAGAAATAAACAAATTAAAACAAGCAAACATGAATCATGTTTACCTCTGGACCAAAGAATGTGAAGTACAGAAAGAGAAATTTAACTTTTCCATTTATACCCTTCTGTATAGACAGGTGTTTTTTTTTTTTTTGCCTTAAGCATTTTTATTATATAAAAAAGCCTAGTTTTACATTTTAAAGTAAACTTAGGTTTTTTTTTTCTTTTTTAAAGAGGGGATGCTAACTTGTAAGATAATGAATTTCTAATCATTGGAAGCACTGAAGCAGAGTTTGGGGGCTCTTTGTGAGGAGTGCTGTGCTTTTAAAATTACCTCCTAACACTAAGGTCCTGTGATTCAGTTATATTTAAAAGGCTTAAAGCTACCAAGCACATGAGTTTTTCCAGCCTGCTTCCAATTGGAAGCAAAGACTTGGATAATGAAATGAATAAAATTAATCCCTTGCCTAGGATTGGTTGTCAGGTCTAAGCAGAAAATGATTTCTCTAGAAGGAAATATTTTTACTTTTTTTAGTGTGAAGAAATATTTTTGGCTAAAGATCCAGAATCCAAGGAAACAGAAAGTGGTGTGAAGTGTTGCTTTTTGCAGTGACATGGATTCCACAAAGCTTGGCTGCCATTTTGTTTCAGCTGTCATGATCTTAGGATCCTAGTGTTACCATTCATCAGGTCTTTGCCACCTTGAGGAGTCCTCATTTTCCCGAGAGGGTGATGGAGGAGGAGATGGAAGGGGAATGCACAAGCACAGCTCAATCTTTTCTCTTCTCTAACCTAGCTTATTTTTTTTTTCATTCCCCTTAATATAAGTAGATTGATTTTCCAGTTACATAAGATTTGAATTTTATCTTGTTCAGTAATACATCATGAATCTCAGTTAAACAGGAGTGATTACAGACAAGCCTATCACCATATCTCAGAGGAAAAGGGGCACATATTTTGCTCTGCATTTTCTCTATGTTTTGAAAATATATTTTTCTGCTCTTCAAAATATGCCCTCATTCAACCACTTGCATTCCACTACAGTAGCAGTCAACACTGATCCTGTCTTTATTTAAAATTTCAATATTTTGTTCATCTTTGATTTTAGCATTAATGTTTTAAAATACTGCATTAAAATTGTATTCCTCTTGATTACAGGATTAGTTTTGGGTGCTCCTTTAAATTTTGCACCCAAGAGCAAGTATCACACTTGCCACGCTCCACTCCTGGCACTGCTCAGAAAGTTTTTCTTTTTACCAGCTACAATCTTTCTTTAAAAACTGAAGTTAATTTCCTCTGGATATGGCCCTTGGGTGCTCAAATTTCTATAAAATGTCTGTTCAGAGACTTTTAAGTTGCTTGTACGTTACATTGTCAACTTTTTCTTCTCCAAGATAAATTAACCCCCGGCTTTCACCTTTTCTTCTCAGTCTTCTCTGCAGCCTCATTAGAGAGTTCCATGTGGGAGAAGAATTTCACAATTGTGTTTTTCTGTTTAGAAAGGAGTAGTTAAGAAGAAAATCTGGATTATAGAGAGAGCATAAAAAGAAAAATGATGTGAGATTCTTCATTCATTACTCAGAAAAAAATATTTTTAGCATTTTGGTATATTTACTTCTAGGCTTTTTAAAAGCATGTGTGCTATTGAATGTGTTTCTTTCCTTTGTTAATTCCTTCTTTTTTCTTTTCTTTTCTTTTTATATTTACAAAATTACAGTCTATTTGTGTATCTCTGTATCTCTGTATCTCTGTATCTATCTTATCTATCTATCTATCTATCTATCTATTGTATTTTTCTGTCAGCCCAGCCCTTTTTAGAGGTATCATGGCTACATGGTTGCCATCAGATGGACATGTTATAATTTATTTAATCATTCCTGTATTCATTTATATTGTTTTTGTCCTTCATTAATATAACTAATATCATAAAAACTTCTTATACATATATCCTGATACGTATCTTTGATTATTTCTTTAAAGTAAATAATTGGGAGTAGAAATATTAAGCCAAGGAGAATGGATATGCATTGTCACTAATGTTTCATATACTTATCTAAACATCCTAAAATTTTTCCAGTTTTCCCAGTGTTTTCCAGGTTTTCCAAATTTTCCCAAATGTAATCTCACTCCCAGAGTGAGGAAAATGCATTAATTTTTTGCAGTAAAAACAAAACAAGAAAAGTATATTCTTTCTCATCTGCTTTGTAGTCATGATGCTTCTCAGGCAGGCGTGGTGTAGGACAAACCACAATGGCCTTAAAATTAAAAGAATGAATCTAGAACTTAATAATTTTGGGAAAATGACCTAACCCTAGATGTCTTTAGGTTCCCCATCTGCAGGATGGAGGTCATTCTGACCTAACATACGGGATTGTTATGCTGTTGAATAATACAGGTTAAAAACTCTTTATAAACTAAAAAGTGCCTAAGGGACTAATATTGTTGTTGTTGTTATTATTAAATATTTTTTTAGTGAGAACTTTCTGATCCCCAGTAACTCCCCAGATAGGGAATAGAGGAAGAGACAGGCCAACTGGTTTCCCCAAAGATACCAGTTTATAATTCTGAAGGAATCGGAAAAGAGAGTTGAGAAGTCTAAGGGTAAGTTAAACTACCTGTGAAAATTCACATCTAAGCACGAGCTAGAAAACGCACAGTTCACGAGAACAACTTAGCAACTGAACGACACTGTAGAAAGCTTGGATGCGTATGTTGTGTTTAGTCCTGAGAAGACTTTGTGAGCAAGAGGAGACTTGAGGTAAGAACTGAAAAACTGGAGAGAGGAACATGGTTTGTTAAAAAACAATGTGCGTGTGGGTTGGTCGGGGTGTAGTCAGGTTTGAAGCTACTGAGTGATTTGTAAAAAGAGTTCAAGAAAGGTGCAGACAAGTGGAACAGGGTGTAAGCAAACACCCATGTCTTGTTGGAGCAGGGAGCATTGTCTTGTTCGGCAACCTAGAAGGGAAGATCTTTAAGAAGATGGTAAAATTGTGGTTTAAGCAAAAGGGGAAGAGTTGTGGGCAAAGTTGGCATTTTTTTTTAAGTAAATGAAAATTTGAAACTATAATCTACAAGAAACAAAATTCTTTTCAAACTTAATTATGCATGCATCTCCTGCTTCTTTAGCCTCAGTTTCCCCCAACATCTATGTTCTAACACACGAGGAAACCTTTTCCAAACTTGACCCCACCTTCCTTCCTTCCACCTTATCCCATCTCTGTTTGTTCTTTTGTAGCTTTATGCATAAGTGTCCATCCATGAATTTATTTCCTTTTTGTGTCTTTCTCTCTTTCACCTGTAGGTGAGCAAAAGTCCCCATTAACCAAGCATCCATCAGGAGCAAATCCGTATTTCCTTCTCCTACAGTTCTCCTGCCCAAAGCACAGGGCACTGATGTATTAGGCTGCTCGGCCTATATCTCCAGCTTTTGGACCTGGAATTTATCGATGAAGGCAGAGAACCACACAGTAGTGAGTGAATTTGTTTTCCAGGGTTTTTCCAGCTTTCATGAACACAAGCTCACCCTCTTTGTGGTGTTTCTTACCTTGTACCTTTTCACCCTGGCTAGCAATGTCACCATTGTGACCATAATCAGCATTGACCGCCGCCTTCACACCCCCATGTACTTCTTTCTCACTGTGCTTTCCACGTCAGAGACCTTGTACACGCTGATCACTGTGCCTCAGATGCTCTGTAACCTCATAGGCCTGAACCAGCCCATCTCCTTGGCAGGCTGTGCCACCCAGATGTTCTTCTTCATCACTCTGGCCATCAACAACTGCTTCCTGCTCACAGCCATGGGGTATGACCGCTACGTGGCCATCTGCCACCCCCTGAGGTACAGGGTCATCATGAACAAGCGAGTGTGTGCCCAGCTGGTGTGGGGGGCCTGCAGCGTTGGCCTGCTGGTGGCTGTCATTCAGATTTCCTCTGTGTTCAGGCTACCCTTTTGTGACAGAGAGGTGGCCCATTATTTCTGTGATATCCGCCCGGTTATGAAGCTCTCCTGTGCTGACACCGCTGTACACAACATAATTAACTTCATCATCAGCTCTCTGGTTATCGTGGTGCCCATGGGTCTGGTCCTCATCTCCTACATCTTCATCATCTCCACCATCTTCAAGATTGCCTCAGCCGAGGGCCGGAAGAAGGCTTTTGCAACATGCGCCTCCCACCTCACTGTGGTCATCATCCACTACGGCTGTGCCTCCATCGCCTACCTCAGGCCCAAGTCAGACAACATGAGGGATCAGGACCAGCTGATCTCAGTGACTTACACCGTTTTCACTCCTCTGCTTAATCCTGTGGTGTACACTTTAAGGAACAAGGAGGTCAAGGATGCCCTCCACCGTGTTATTGGCAGGAACCGTCTTGCCTAGCATCTTTGGTGGTTTGGTATAGAGCCCATCATCCTCTGGGTATTTTTGTAATCAGAAGAAAACTTGATCCTATCATTCTTCTTCTACCCTGAGAGAAGAAAAATTTAGTGGTAAGCCTGCATTAAAGAAACGAGAGTTTCTTTGACTTGAATTTTGTTTTTGCCATCATTCTCCTATACTGTCTGTTCATCTGAATGGCTACCCCCAGGGAAGTGGCCCAATGCTGCTCACAAGGTAGAGAGCTGGTTGGGAATAATAAGCAGGAGGGTAGCTGATTGTTTCCACTGTGCTAATGGCAGGAAAGTGGGCTGCATAGCACCTGTTGGAAGTGACAGGTTGAAAGATCAACCTAAATGCCAGGTGGATATTGAGCTCTGAACTTTCAAAGAGAACATGGTTGGTGGACAGTATGTGCTGAAAGCACAGTCAAAACCACCTTTCTTACTTATCATCACTTTCTCCTTTGGGCAGCAACAAGAGTAACGGATTCTGACATTCCAGATGAAATTTTATCAACTTAAAACATTCTCACCTGCCTTGAAGACCCATGAAATTTTGTTCTTCCCAATTTTGTCAAAGCTCCCATTAGAACTGACTCCTTGGTGAGTTTTGTATATTCACAGGCTAGTAAGCAACTTGTCACATCCAGCAAGTGAATTTCACTACGGTTAGACATGCTTTCCGTGGGGGGAATGCATATGCTATAGTGTATTCGTTCACAAGTGTAGGGGTATCTGAAGATCTTTTTGGAAAGTAAATGTATTGGTCCTGCCTCCCAACTAACTCTGACTGTCCCAGATCTGGAAATTAGCCCGTGATTTTCATTCAGTCTCCACGTGGAGCCTGAGCTGATATCTGTGTCTTGCCTTGGCCCGCTTCATTTCTACATTGATGAACTCATTTTCTGTGAACCGTTGGATGCCTGGTTTAAACTCTGAGTTTAAGCCTTTGTCTAAAGAAGAGTCTGGGCATCTACCAATTCCTACTATCTTTGCCCCCTGAAGGGGAAAACTGTATTGAGTTGTGAGAAAGTTTTAAGAATTTAGGATTATTTGACCTGGAGTTAAAACGAGACAGAACTTTCCAAATGTCTTCCAGTCCATAAAGGGCTGATGTTTAAAAAAAAAATCTATGTCTCACATCCACCGTGCCCCTCCTGCTTAAGAACAGTCCAAGTGTCCCCATAGACGATGCACTGAAAGTGCATGTCAGACAAAGGACTTGGGAATCCCTAAGGGTGGAAGGGCCAAGAAGGGCAATCTTCACGTTTGGGGAGGATTTCCTGAAAGAATCAAAGCTCTGCCTCTCCAGAGCCCCTGCCTCCAAGACAGCAACCTGGGAGTGAGTGTGAAGAAGAGCCTGCAAGGCAGTTCCTCTCTGCCTCTGCCTGAAAACACCTCTGCATCCTTTCCGGGCTAGGTTCGTGGGGACACTCACACCCCTACTTCTGAGAAGGCCCCACAGAAGAGTCTGTCTTTGGGGGACCTGCCCACAACAGTAGCCCATTCTTGAAGGCCCTCCCAGCAGTCAAGTCATTTTATAGACTGATGGCTTTTTGGCACACAGAATCCCCACGGGTCCTCCCACATCCCCTGTCCAGGGCTCTGCAAGATTGGCACCCCTGCTGAAAGCTGTGTGTTCCCCTGGGTTCTGACAGATTGATGCTCCAGAAAATCCTGGTGCAGTTCACCCAAGGTGGTTTCATATACAGAGACTGTGTATTAAAGGCCTACTTATCCCTTGTGTCCTTAATGTGGTTTACACCATCTTAACAGAGCCGGAGGAAACTTAAGTCAGTGTGTTTCATTTCAAAGAGAATGTGTGTTATTAAACAGAAGTCATGTTGGCAGAGTGTGAGGCTTAAGCCCACAAGGTGGGCTTAACCACCACGTAGCCCTTATCTTTATAAGTCAGGGCCTGCCAGCTCAAGATGTTGCCACTGTAACACGAGGCGCACATGTCCCTGAGGGGGACCACCCGATCCCACAAGGACACATCCCATATCTCCCCAACAAAGGACTGTTTTGCATCAAAACTTCCCCCAAAGGAATCCTGCTCCTGTCCCAGGATGATGCTTGCCTCTTGCTTCACATAGTACCCTTTTTGCAAACCCTTCCGCCCCACGGGTTTCCCGTCCACCCAGAGTTCAGCAATCCCAGAGGCAGACTCCCAGCTGGCACAGAGATGGACTGGAGTGTAAGGAGACGGGGGGGACCTTGAAGGTGACCGCAGCGTTCCCCACGTGCAGCATGTACTCTCCTACTTTGCTGACAAAGAGAAGCAGCTCGTTGTCCCTGGACTTGGTGCTGTAGGAGAAGAGGCTGTAAGAGCGGCTGAGGTCTGTGAAGGCTTTCAGGCACAGCGTGAAGTTCTTCAGCGGCTTCTTCAACCGGGGGATCAGGGACACATAGGCTGTGTTTGATTCTTCGGGGAAAATAAACGCCTTCCCTCCCAAGTCTGTGGAGAAAAGACAACGGGACAGAAATTCTCTCAGTGCTCTTGTTGGGTCTGCTCTCACTCTGGACCATAAGCTGCCTCCCGAGAGAACAGACGCAGCGCGCTGGAGTTCGCAAGGTGCCTGCAGGTGCCTTACCTCCGTGACCACGTGCGCAGAATGTGCGTGTTACGAGGTGGGCTTTGCTACAGCTATCCTGACAGAGGAATTAGGGATGTCCTCTATTAACCCCCACGCCCATCTTCTCTGTAGGTTTCATCCGGATAGAATAGCAAACACCAGTCGTAGAAAATGAAACACAGCTGACTCCTGGAGGGGAGCATCCTGTATTCTCCCACCACTGATCATGCTCTGAGATGCCTCCCACGGGACTCTCATAGCTGGGGTTAAACGTAATTATCATGTCCCTTCTTGAACCATGGCTTGGCTATGCTGGGCCAGTGCTCATCGTTAGTGCAACGTGTGAGGAATAGAACAGTGTGCAAAGCCCATGGCCTTTATGGTGTCCTCACCTTCCTGTCCACTCCCTTTTTGCAGCTCTGTATGCCCATTCGGGACCAGTTTCCCCATGGCTGCAACCCAGGATTATGGAATTACTCACCGTCTCCTTATTTCCTCTTAAGACCCACGAGAGGGGAGGGCTTAATCATTATAAAAACCAATTATTTTTCTTTTTCTTGCTTAGAAAAGCAAATTTAACAACTATTATGGCCTTGAAATAAATTAGAGAATAATGACTAACTGAATCAAGGGAGACATAGCCGAGAAGCACTATGAGTTGAATTAGTTTTGCTTTAAGTAGGAAATGGAAACATAGCAGAATTCTTATTTCCTTGGATACAAGGGTTTCTTAAGAATTGGTCACCTTGGACAAAGAATAGAAACAGAACATTTAGAGAGAGGGAGGGCTAGGAAGAGATTTCAGAGGTGGGGGGAGGAGCTTCATCCATTACAACGAGACTTAGAAGGATGGGAAAGTAAACCATGAATTTATACCCTGTGATCTGCTCATCGCCCGGTGCATGATTTGGGACCTTGTCAGTATACAAAACTGGAGCAAAATAGCATGGTTGGCAAGAGAGTGATAGTGAAATGATAGAGAAGGGGGCGTCTCCAACTTGAGAAGATGAAGTTGTGCTTAGTGGCAATAATAGAATGGGGTGCAGAGGGATGGATGCCAAAACGTTAAAGCTTTTTTTCACTTCTAATAAAAACTAACTTTTTGCAACACTTAACACATCACAAAGTACATTTTCACTTTAACTTATCTCACCCAATCTTCCTAAACAACCCTTTGCAAGTTTGATGTCATTCTTATACCCATTTCATGGATGAAGAAACCGAGGCTCAGAGTTCAGCAACTTCACAAAGTCAATTCAGTTAGTTTGGGAGAAACTGGTTCTCTGATTTCAAGTCCAGAATTCTTCCAAAATGTCATATTTCACGTGACCTGGACTAACAGATTGAGAAGAATGAGAGAATGAACACCCCAACCCCTGCAATGACCCCTTTTTTTTTCCTTCCCCAATAAAAGCTACATATCCCTTCTTATTCTCTCAGGGGAGAGGTAATTCCACATGGTCAGCAAAGCCAGGTCTGGGGCTTGCTTATGCCAGGCATAGCCTGACTCGGCAGCATCTGTGGTGCTTCTGAAGACACATCCGATGGAATTCTCCTCTCCTTGATTGTAGGCGAACTCGCTGCTCTTGCACAGAATACAGAAAAGCTTGAGATATGTGACTTCCAAGATGAGATTATGGAAAGATTGTGGCTTTTGTGCTGGGCACTTTCTGTTAGGTCACTCCCTGTGGGAGAAGTCAGTTGCCACATTGCAAGCTGCTCTGTAGAAAGGTCCACGTGGCAAGGAACTAAGGGAAGCCTCCCGCCAAGCGCCGATGAGGAACTGAGGCCCCGAGCCCTGCAGCCTGTAAAGACCGGGGTCCTGACAGTAACCTTGTGAGTGAGCTTGGGAGCAGATGCCCGCCTTGTCCAGCCTTCAGATGGGAGGACAGCCCTGGTCGGCTGACTGCAGCCGCAGGAGAGACCTTGAGTCAGAGTCATCCAGCTACGCTGTTCCCTAACTCCTGATGCACGGTAAATATGAGATAATACGCAGTCGATGTTTTAAGCTCCGTTTTGAGGTGATTTGTCATGCCTCGAGATAACTTATCCCATCCTTCATTCTCATCTTCCTCAAAACGGCTGCTGCAGCAGCAGCAAGAGGAGCTATACTCCAGCTCCCCTGGGACTCGGAGGAACTTTTCCCCTTCAAGGCTCAGGACCTACCTGAATGTGTCATCCCCTCTGAGAGGAAGACGAGGAGCAGGACACCTGGAAGAAGCTTCTCCATCGTGCGCTCTTTGGGTGGTAGCAGTGGGCGGGACACAGCAGCCGTAGTGATGGAGAGATGCTCACTGTCTGGCTTCTTATATTGTGCTTCTGGGGCACAGCCTTTGTACCAGTAACAGAAGGCAAAGCTGTAAATGGTAAACATTAACTGAACCCGGATGTGATTTAGAAACAGATTTGTGTACTTTCTGATCTGTTGTTTCAGTTGCAGGGGTTTTCCTTTTTCTTTTAACTGTTCTGTTTCCTGCTGAGCCGTCCTGTTCAGGTCCCCCACAAGGAAATGTCCCTAAAGGGACATTGAGTTAC